GAGCAGGGCGGGCTGGGAGCCAGGACTCCTGGGTTCTCTCCCCGACTCTGAGAGGGAAGTGGGGGCTGGTGGTTAGAGCAGGGCGGGCTGGGAGCCAGGACTCCTGGGTTCTCTCCCCGACTCTGAGAGGGAAGTGGGGGCTGGTGGTTAGAGCAGGGCGGGCTGGGCGCTAGGGGCAGGGAGCGGGGCAGAGGGCTCAGCAGGGGGCGCTCTCCCCTGGCAGGCAGGGCTGGCCCCAGGGTGGTGCTAGGGGGTGCTGTGGGGCAGGGAGCGGGGTGGGGGGGCTCAGCAGGGGGTGCTCTCCCCTGGGAGGTACTCGGGGGTCTGTGCAGTGCCCGGCACGACGGGGAGAGAGGAGGGCAGGACTGACAGTGGAGTCTCTGTAACATGGTGAGAAGCTGTTTATTGGGGTGCCAACGGGCGGATGGGGGGCAGGGGCCGGAGGGCCGGCGGGGGCCCGTTTCCGTGTGGCCGCGGGGCAGCCCCCTCTCCCTTGACAGCGGCTCACTCCAGGGCGTCGGGTTCCAGGTCCCAGTTGGGGTTCTCCCCCCGGACCTTCGGTCCCCCGCTCTTCTTGGCCACCAGGATGTGGCTGACGCCCAGCAGGGTGGTGGCCGTGTGGACCGCCAGGCGGAGGACCTTCTCCTTGACCAGCAAGGAGTCCAGCACCCCCTCCCGGGCAGCGTCCATGGTGGGAGCCCCCCCCCTCGCCCGGCCGGACACCGGCGGTGGCCGTGCCCAGCTGGTGCAGGGCCTCCAGCGCCGCCATGGTCTCGTTGACCGGCAGCCCCGCGTTCTCGGCCAGCGCCGCCGGCAGGGTCTTCAAAGCCTGGGCGAACTCCAGGATGCCGTACTGCTCCAGGCTGGGGAGGTAGGTGCCCAGCGTGGCCAGCCGCACGGCCAGGGCCATCTCCGCTGCCCCTGCCCCGGGCAGCAGCCGGCGGTCACTCACCAGGGCCTTGTAGGTGTTCAGCCCGTCTGTCACCGCCTCCTCCAGGCTGCAGAGCAGCTCGTGGGTAGCCCCCCGCAGCAGGATGGTGGCCACGGGGCAGGCGCCGCCGTCCTGGCGGAAAACCACCACGGCCGTGCTCCCGATCTCGCTGAGGTAGACGCGCTGGCAGTGCCCTATGGCGCCGGGCGGCGGGGGCACCAGGCTGGCCAGTGGGACAGCGCCCACGGCCCGGCACAGGCACTGCAGCTCCAGCCGGGAACTGAGCCGCACCACCATCAGCCCCAGCTGGTCGGCGTACTGCAGGGCCAGCGGGTCCACCCGCCCGCCCACCACCACCACGCTGGCCCCCTCCTCAGCGATGGCCCGGACGCGCCGCCCCAGCAGCGCCTCCTCGGCGTCGCCGTACGCCCGCATCTCCGCCGCCCCCTGGAACAGCACCATGCATTTGGTCTCGCTGCGGGCCAGGCCGAAGGGGCAGCAGTAGACGGCGATCCGGGCCTCGTGTGCCTGGTGCACCTGGCTCTCGACCTCGGTGCAGAAGACCATGCCCTCCAGCAGGCAGGAGTCGGTGACGCCGCCCCCCGGCACCTTGCAGAGGCGCACGTTATTGGGCTCAAAGGTGCCTTCCGGGCTCAGTGCCGCCACGCAGCACCGGGCCACCAGCTCGGCCAGGAAATCCTGGTAGCCGAAGAGCTTGCTGCCCACGGCGGCACGCAGGGCCCCGGCCACCCCAGCCGGGTCCCGGAGATCCGCTAGCACGTGGCAGGCCAGGCCGGGCAGCAGCCGCACGGCTTCCTTGCAGGCCGCGTCGTAGCCGTCCCGCACGGCGGCCACGGGCAGGCCGGCGCGCAGCAGCTTCTCGGCGTTGTCCAGCAGCGCCCCGGCCAGCAGCACCACAGCATTGGCCCCATCGCCCGTCTCCTCCTCCTGGGCCTGGCTGGCCGCGCCCAGCATCCGGGCCACCGGGTTCTCCAGCTCCAGCTCCCGCAGGATGGTGCCGGCATGGGCCGTGCACAGGGCCTTGCCCAGGTGGGTGATCACCAGCTTGTTGTGGCCCAGCGGCCCGTAGGAGGTGCGCAGGCACATGGCCAGGGCCCGGCAGGCCGTGATGTGGCTGAAGAGCGACTCCTGCAGGCCGGAGAAGTACTTGGTGCCGGCTTTGAGCAGCTGGGGCAGGCCAGGGGGCAGGGGCACGTGGGCGGCCATGGCCTGCGGAGAGAGAGACAACCAATGGCCATGTTACGACTGGCTGGGGCAGGGAATGGGGCAGGGGCTTGTCCCCTCTAGGGGGCACCAGCTCCCATCCAGCTCCAGGGCGGGGACTAGCTGGATCAGAGGGGCAGGGAATGGACACGGGGTCTGTCCCTCTAGGGGGCACCGGCTCCCCTCTGGCCCCACGGTGGGGACTGGCTGGCTCAGGGGGGCAGGGAACGGGGCAGGGGCCTGTCCCCTCTAGGGGGCACTGGATCTGGGGTGGTTTCCCCACTATATCCAGGGTTACCCCCCACCAGGGGCGACCCCATCTCTGCTCACGGTGCAAGTGGGAGGCAGGGACTTGGACGCTGGGGTCCTGTCGCCGGCACCGGGGGGCCGGTAACCGACTGCTGCAAACCGTACGTAAACGGGCGATGTCATAGTGGCGCCTTCCGTGCGGGAGCTGTTCTGCCACCCCATTGGCTGGAATGGGAGTGAGGTCAGCACTAGGTGGGGCAGCGGTGGGAACTAGGGTGGGAGCAGAATCACAGGAGTTGGGAGGGGGAGGGAGCTGGGAGAATCCAGGATGGATGTATGGATGGTGTGTATGGGGATGGATGGATAGATGGATGGTGTGTACGGGGACGGAAGGATAGATGACGTGTATGGGGATGAGTGGATGGATGGCGTGTATGGGTACGGACAGATGGATGGATAGCTGTGTGTGTGGGGTGGGTGGGTGGATGGATGCATGGATGGCATGTACGGGGATGGATGGATGGATGGATGGCGTGTACGTGGATGGGCGGATGGATGGCATGTACGGGGACGGACGGATGGATGGATAGCTGTGTATGGGGATGGGTGGTTGGATAGATGGTGTGTATGGGGACGGACGGATGGATGGATAGCTGTGTATGGGGATGGGTGGGTGGATAGATGGCGGGGACGGGGACGGACGGATGGATGGATAGCTGTGTATGGGGATGGGTGGGTGGATAGATGGCGTGTGTGGGGATGGTGTGACGAAGTGGGAATGTTCTTAATATTTTCTCTGAATACTGTGTGGGTGCCTCAGTTTCCCCTATGCAGTTCTTAAGTATCTAGGTGGTGGGATAAGGGTGTGTGATTGTTGCAGAGCCCTAGAGGGCCAGTGCAATGGTGTCTGCACAGAGAATGGCCGACACCCTGTCTCCTGGCCACTGATGGCCTAGGCCCCTCCCCGGCAAGATGCCAACTGAAGGTGTTGGAGAACAAAGAGATCAGGTGACCTCCTGGCCCGGGAAAGGGACAAAGGCAGAGAAGGGCCTGGAGAGTTTCAGTTTGGAGCTGGCTGGGGATATGGAGGGTTGGGCCAGAGGGGCTCTGGCCTCCCTGCCCCAAGATGGACCTGACTTAGGGGTCCTGGTCTCTGTACCTACAAGCTCTGTTTTAGACCATGCTCCTGTCGTCTAATAAACCTTCTGTTTTACTGGCTGGCTGAGAGTCACGTCTGACTGTGGAGTTGGGGTGCAGGGCCTTCTGGCACCCCAAGAGCCTCGCCTGTGCGGACTCGCTGTGGGAAGTGCACAGTGTGGAAGGGGAGGCTGGATGCTCCGAGGTCAGACCCAGGAAGGTGGAAGCCGTGGGAGCTTCTTGCCCTGGAGACAGTCTGCTCACAGAGAGGAGGCTCCCCCAGAGCCCTGCCTGGCTTCGTGGGGAGCAGCTCCAGAGCATCGCCCAGGGACTCCGTGACAACTGGTGTTAGAGGTGGGATGTACTGCACCCCGTGAATGGCGCTTCTTGCAGTAAGTGACTGGGGAGCAGGAAAAGTCCCAGGATAGCAGAGCCAGGAGGATGGGGGGATAAAGGGCCTTTGACCTCTGCAGGGGGCTAGGTCCAATCAGGGGAACTGGCTGGCTCCAGGGTCTCGAGAAACGGGGTACATAAAGTGTTCCTATTCCATGGGCCTGCAGCTTGTAGTGTGTGTAGCAACACATTCTGGGAGCTCTGCTCCGGGCCTGCGGCTCATAGTGGTGTAGCAATGGATTTTGGGAGCTCCGCTCCCGGCCTGCGGCTCAGTGTGTGTGTAGCAATGCATTCTGGGAGCTCCGCTCCGGGCCTGTGGCTCATAGTGTGTGTAGCAATGCATTCTGGGAGCTCCGCTCCAGGCCTGCGGCTCATAGTGTGTGTAGCAATGCATTCTGGGAGCTCCGCTCCGGGCCTGTGGCTCATAGTGTGTGTAGCAATGCATTCTGGGAGCTCCGCTACGGGCCTGCGGCTCATAGTGTGTGTAGCAATGAATTCTGGGAGCTCTGCTTTGGGCCTGCGGCTCATAGTGTGTGGAGCAATGCATTCTGGGACCTTCGCTCCGGGGTTGCACCTCGTAGTGTGTGGAGCAATGCATTCTGGGACCTTCGCTCACATTCAGGTACAGCTCTGCTCCTGTTCCATCGGTGCAATGCATTCTGGGACTATTGCCAAGCTCTCATAGGCATCCCACTCCCGCTGCATGATGGGAGCTGTTATCCAGACTTTGAGGGGTGTGGGGGGGGAGGATTGAATTCCTCCTCAGGGAATTTGAGGTGTCACTTTCCTTCTTCCCACCCCTTTCCCCCATCCCGCCAATCAGCTTCCTTCCTGGGCAAGATTGACTAGTTTTTCCTAGTCCCACCCATCCCTTCTGCTCCCGCCGCTCTACTCCTGGTTCTCCAATCAGGCGCCTCTCTCGGTAGGATTGACAGGGCGGCTTCCCATCCCATTCGCTCCTCCTCACCAACTGTCACTCAAGCGGCGCGCGCTTTCCTCCCCTCGCCCCAACCGCCACTCAAGCGGCGCGCGCTCCTTCCCCCGGCCCTCTCCTGATTGGCTCCCGCCCCGGCTCGCGCTCTTCCCCGCAGCGTCCGTTGCTCGGTTGCCCGGGGAGACACTGCGGGTGGGAGGGGCCCGAGGGGCGAGTCGGAGCGGCGCGTGCGGGGCAGGGGTGAGGTGGGGTAGGAGTGAGGTGGGGGGAGGGGGCAGGTGAGGGGCAGATGTGAAGGGGAGGGGGAAGTGTGTGGGGGG